GTTATTACATCTGTGCTTTCATCACTCTCCCTGCCCAGAGCTCCTGGAAAGACCCTGTTAGCACAGAAGCCAACAGTCTCACAGCTCTTACGGTGTCATCCTATAAAAAAAACACCCTTCCGTGCAAGGCCAGGTTTCTATTCCCAGTTCATGGCCTAAATCCTAACGAGGCTACGTGACTTTTCCAAGGTCAGACAAAAATCCTCGGGGAGAAGCAAGCTGCTTCTCCTGCTCTCCCTCCCTTCCAAGCCCACCTGCAGGGCTCTCCCCTCCCCTGGAAGCAGGGTGAGAGCCGAGTGCTGCAGGCTGTGTTTCTCCAAATGACTCACTTTCTCACTGTTTTCATTACATGGAGAAAAAGGTGACTCAGAAACTGCTCTGCAATAAATAAATCACAGATTGTTCACCGGAGCGGGCTGCAAAAGGACAGCACGGCTCCTCAGCGTTGCACAAGCAGCCTGCGCAGCACCTCCCGACCGCACCAGGCCTGGAGTCTCTCCAACATCTGCCAGACCGTTTAGGATAATCTCCTTGCTTTATCTCATGATTGGAGTTGTGAGATTGTCTGGGGGCCCTGTCCGAGAGGCAAGCCCCCCACTTGCACACACATGCTCACAGGCGGCCTCTCCTTACTCCCTTGAGGGGCAGCAGGTCGGAGAGGTGTGATTTTGCAGACAGGGAACGAGGCCCAGAGAGATTTGGTGACCGGCCAAAAATCACACAGGAAAGCCATGTCAGCTCCAGGAATTAAGCCCCACTCTGCTGAGCCCCAGCCTGACAGTGTGCTTGAGCCCAGTTCCTGACTGTGACCGCAGCACTGCTTCGTGCTAAGCGTGCACAGCTCAAGAGCTGTCTGTGGATCCTTACCAGAAAGGGGCTCGAGACAAAATATTTGGAGCCACTGTTCTGGTTATCTGAATGTGGGCTTTTGGTTTTTAACCGTTCCAAAGACAAAGAGAGGAGCTTTGGAAAGTTATTTTCAAAAAGCAGAGCTTTCCCACTGAATCTCAGGGTGCTAGAAAGCAGGATGGCTGGAGAAGGCTCAGGGAAACCCCACTGTGGCCTTTCAGTATTTAAAGGGAGATTATAAACACAGGAAAATCAACTTTTTACATGGGTAGATGGTGATAGGACATGGGAAAATGGCTTTAAACTAAAAGAGGGAAGATACAAATTAGATGTCAGGGGGAAAACCTTCACTGGTGGTGAAGCCCTGGCACTGCTGACCAGAGCTGTGGGTGCCCCATCTTTGTAGGTGCACAAGGCCATGATGCATACTGAGCTAGAAAATTAGGAAACCAGCGCTGTGGGATACTCTCAGAATATAATAAATGCAATCACAGACTGCACAGGCCTCAAAAAAATATTCAAAATATGAAAAAATCTAAAGTTGTCTGATTTTCACACTGACCAATTCCACTCATTTACTTCCCACTTCCAATCTGTGGGAAATCCTGAAATATGACTTTGTTGCATTTCATAATAATACGTATTCTTCCTTACATTAATCTCATCTGCATTTCTAGCTAGCTTTGCCCATCAGCCCATTAGTACTGTATTGATGAGCAAAGCTTATGTAAGAAGCGTTAGTACCATACTACATGATTTTGTATCCTAAAGGAGAAGCTGGAAGGAAAAGCACAAAGCTGGAAGGCACAAAGCTCCATATCCAGTGACCAGGAAAGCAGATCTCAGTTTACTAGAGGAATTTTTGGAGCATTTTATGTAATTCCAAATTGTACTCTTCTTTTGTACCTTATTTATGAGTTCAGAGATTGGTAAACAACCACTGTATGTTTGGAATAGAATATGGATGTGATTTCCCCGGTGATAGGTTTCATAGTCAATATATTCAGTTAAAGAACTGACAGCTGCAGTTTAGAGCAGGAAATATTTGATTTAAAGAGAGCTGTACCCAGCAATTGGCAGTTTGGTTAATGCAGGGAGGAATTTGGTTTGTGACTATCCTTTCCCTTCATAAAAGGCGAATAAACTTCAGCTTGTGTTTCAGCACCCTGAATCAGTTCCTCTCTGCGCTCCATTTCAGCCTACAAGATATGCATTTCCCAATTAATAAACATCTCATGCTCGACTTTTTTGGCATTTCAAGTACCTGCAGCATTGCTGAATGCAGAGCAGCTTCCCAGCACCTTGCAAGTGAGTAGCAGAGTGACCAAAGCTCCCAGAGCAAATGCTTCATTACCCACACAGGAACAATGGATGCTCAGGGAAGATTTTCTTACTTCCAAAGGAAAAAAACAAAAAAGAAGAAGAAAGATCAGAATTCATGGGAAGGCAGAAGTAGTTTAAGTTTCCTCTCAAGTCATACTAAATCGTACCTGCATTATATGTGGGGCTGTGGAGAAGATTGCCTCTATTTGTATGGTGGGGATCCAGCTCGCTCATTTTGGCAGGCTTTGCTCAGATAGGCACATTTCTTTCAGCTGCCTTTAGCTGGAGCTAATTTAGTCATTTCTGGTATACTTTTGAATGCTTTAGTTTCATCCCTTAGACCACCATGGCTATGCCACCAGTGTATCCTTCGCGCTGTTTTGTGAAGCTGTAACCAATTAGTTGATACTGTCTTCTTCCCTTAGCCTGTATTAGACGCAGTCCTCTCTCCAAGTAAAATTAGAATCTGAACAGACTGATGTTCCTTCCCAGTCTCTGGTACATAGAATCATCACAGCCAGAATGGCCTGGCTTGAAAAAGACCACAACGAACTTCTAATTTCAACCCCCTTCCCGAGTGCAGGGTCACCAACCATCAGACCAGGCTGCCCAGAGCCACATCCAGCCTGGCCTTGAATGCCTCCAGGGATGGGGCATCCACAACCTCCTTGGGCAACCTGTTCCAGTGAGGATCAGTGTGGAGCAATCCCAACCTGTTCCACACAAGGATCAGTGTGGAGCAATCCCACCCATTTCAATGTGTGGGAGCATCCCCCTCCCCAGGTAGGGCCAAGCAAGCTGATGCAAGCTGAGGTCAGCAAGATGTGGATTTGCACCAGACCCTGCTTCAGTGTCAGTGGAAGGATGAGCATAAAGACACGCATATGGATGATGCTGGGACATGGAGCCCCAGCTCTCACTCGGGGCAAAGAGGTGTCTTCTGGTCTCCACTCTGAGCTTGAGGAGGCTCAGGGTGAACCCTGTTCCCTGAACATCTGCACAAGGACAGAGGGCTGGCTGTTACCAAACAACACAGGGAGGAAAATTTGTATTGCATTTACTTACCCAAATCAATCAGCAAGCAAGGAACTTCTGTTTGTTTTTTTAAATTCTTTCTTTACCATGGAAAATCAGTGGTTTCTGAAAAGGGTGGACAGTTTTCTTTCTCTTTTTCTCTCTTTCTCTTTCTTTTCTCTCTTTCTCTCTTTTTCTTTCTTTCTTTCTTTCTTTCTTTCTTTCTTTCTTTCTTTCTTTCTTTCCTCTCTTTCTCTCTCTGTCTCTCTCTCTCTCCCCCTGGACAATATAAACACATACATTTATTTATTTTATTTTAAATCAAAAGCATTTGTTTTCCCACTTGCCTTTCTTCTCAGTCCTCTTGCCCCCTCCTTCTCCTTCAGGAAATGACACCACATCTTCTCTGAAGCATCAAAAGGCAATGTTTATTTTTTAAGTGCAAGGATAGAAACAATGACTGTATATTTATATTTTTCCCTTTTCTTCCTCTGGTAAGTGCAACACGACTTTAAAAGCCTCTCATGACGATCCCTACAGAGGAGAGCCAAGCAGTGGGAAGAGTCTAAAGGCTCATGGGGTCCCAAGGTTGCTGATCCCATGGAAAAGATGGAGTGTTGCTTGAAAGGAGCACAAGGGTGGTGGATCATAGAATCGTAGACAGGTTTGGATTGGAAGGGACCTCAAAGATCATCTAGTTCCACCCCCTGCCATAGGTAGGGTTGCCAAGCACTACATCAGACACCAGCTCAGGCTGCTCAGGGCCCCATCCAACCTAGCCTTGGACACTTCCAGGGGTGGGGCAGTTCCCAGACAATGTGACAGCTGTTTTGGCTGATGTGACAAGTGCTGCTGTTGAATGGCTGTGGGCCGCTTCAGTTCTTTGCCTGCCTCCATGTGTAATTGACGCAGGGTGCAGCAATGTCCTGCAGCAGTGTCCTGGATCACACACAGGTGATCTGATTAACTTGTGTGAACGAGCAGGGGGTAAGGGGCTAACCTCTCCAGTTGGAGTTTGGTCCCACTGCTGGTGCATAGAGAACTGAGCCCTCTGACACTTGCTCTCTCTCCAAATTGCATTAGTCTTCAGGGCTCCACAGGGAAAAAGGAGGGAAAAAAGGAAGAAGAATGAGAAATCCCCACAGCCTGCTCAGACAGCACTTACAGTCTAGAAGCATTCAGAGACTTGCCCCCCTCTGCTGCAAGGCAAGATGTGGACTTACTCAGCTGCAGCAGCTCATCAGTCTGCATGGCAGACCCCAGCCCTGCAATTATTGGGGCTGCAGAACGAGCTGTAGGGTTGGGAACTCTCCCCAGGACTGGAGCAGCCCCAATCTGGTCACAGAGACATGGCCAGGTCCCCACGCTGTTCAGCAGGAAGTGTTTTGTGTCTGTCCTTTGCTGCAGTCTCCTTTAAAAACACAGCCACACATTTTAATTAAGCCTTCGGTGTCTATTTTCAATGCCGGATGTCTCAGTGCCGCTGTCCTTTCTTTTTTAATCTAATTTGATTGGGAATGTACTTGGCTGTATCCTATATATGACAAAAGTTTTTTTTTTTTTTTCTCATTGCTTCAAATTATTTTTCCAATCATGTTCTATATAGTGTGCATGGGGGTGAATTATAAGGAGTTAGGCAACATACATGGTGTTAATTAGGATGGGGACGTAGAAGGCAATTTATCCATGACTCCAGGGAAACCTTTATGTTATGCTTATAAAGCAAATGCAAATGGCCACGCCATACAAAGTGCTTCTTAAAAATCAAGTTACACACTGAAATAAAATACTAAGAGCAAAATTAGTTTCTTCAATTTAATTCAGTAAAACTTTAATAGCATCTGACCGCTCTCTGCAAAAGTCATTAAAAAAATGGGTAAGGAATTCACCGCTGACTGATAATGTAAAAACACGGCGGCTCAGATGCTGTGTCTAACAAAGGTCGTGGTGCAGCACAGCGCTGGAGCCCACACCTAATCCTGAGCTGCAGGAATGTGCTCGCGGGCCAAAGTTAACAGCCAAAGTCGCACTGACTGCAACGGGAGGCTGATGGAGCGCGGGAGGACGTGGGAGCTTTGATCTAGAAGGAAAGGTTCAGGGAACATTCAAAACCCAAGCTGAGCCTTATGCACACATCAGTAATTGCATGTGCTAATCAGGTAAACACTTCTGAAAATAGGACAAGCTTGAGCAGGAGCGAGGCGGTGAATTAGGCGAGCCACTGGCTCTCTTTAATCTCCGACAACGCGATAACCAGTGGAGGGTGGTGGAAGTTTCATGGCATGCACAATAAAATACAGATGGAAATTCTCCAAAATGTCATTCAATAACTACAGACAATAGCTCGTTCTTATGAAAACTGAGCAGCTAGCAGCAGGAAGATGAGAGGGAGCGGAGCTGCCGTGCACGCCTCTGCAATGGAGGCTCAGAAGAGCACATAGCTCTGAAAAATACTCTGCAAATGCAGCTTTTCCAGTAGGGATTTGCAGAGCTGTAACCTATCTGGTGTGCTCTCTTTTGTGTTACATGAAGGGCATAATGCACGACTGATCACACGTGGAACTTTTCTTCTCCACTGAAGAATTTTCCACCATTTTTTTGTGATAATTAGCACTCTTTCATTAAAATGCTGTGTCCCCCTTGGACAGAGCCAAACTGCGCATGTCTTATAATCTGTTCTTCATAATATTTTTAAGGTCATAAATCTTATCAATTAATATTTCAGGGTGATTCATACCATTTCCATTATGTGGTAGCTGGGCAGGATCTTGCAGATAAAAGTATTTTCTGAACAGATTCACAATAATTGCTTTTTTAAATTGCTGATGGGGGTTCTGCCACTCAAGCAGTTAAGCCTGAAAATGTGCTTAAGAGATTAAACAAGGAAAACTGAGCTGGTCTGGTAGCTGGCCCCTTTCCATACGTTGAAGAGTTGTCACTACTCCAAATGCAATGCGACAACTTAGGATTTGCCTTGGTTCATCCTGCACACAAGAGGTACAAGGTGCAGCCGCTGCCATGCTCAGCCAGGCTTTGCACAGCTTCACATGCAGCCACCAGGGCACTGAGGGATTCAGCCAAGGCACACAGTGTGCCAGGGAGTGATATGGCACTTGGAAGGGGAAAGCTGCTGCCGTCAGATTCAAATAGCAAGGTTTGCAGGACCAGAGAGCTGCAGCCCCAGCAGGACCAGGGATGTTCCAGCAGCGCGCATTCAGCAGGAGGTGACCCTTCCTGTCCTTGCCAACGTGCAGCTCCCCAACCTGCTCATCCAAAAGCACGATTTCTTATCAGGGCGGTACTTTCTGAGGGATCATGCCCTGCACTCATGGCTTGTTTACATAAATAAGTGGTTTTGGATCCACCATGAATCTATAATTCAGTGTGAGTGTATATGTACACATACACACGCCCTTCTGTTGTTCAATGCTGTGTATTTGTACAGTTGTATATATGTTTTTATAACTCCATCTATAAAAATAAACAATGAAAAAGTCTTTGAAGTTTCTCTGTGTGCAAAACAAAAAAGCAGATGGAACTTTTCTCTCTTTTTTAATATAAATACAGTTGAAATACTGCATGTTTAACTCTCCTTTCTTTTAAAGGAAAGCCTGGTGTTCAGCTCCCCACTGTACTAGTTAAGCCAAAATTCCAGGTAATTAGAGGTTTTGGCTGCTCCCATGTCAGGTGCCCAAAGACATGTCAAAGCTGTTTGATTTCCATTCAGTGCTGTATCTAATCTCTCCTATTCCCTTTTACAGCAATTTTAGGTAATGCAATATTAAGACATTTGAAGTCATCAGTCTATCCCAGACATCTGGTTAAACGTCCTAATTTCTCAAGCCTGAACTCCCAAAGTTGATAGGGAATCTGCATAGCACTGTAGGGAATATAACTACTTACATTTTTCCTTATTTTTTTTTTTACTCTTTCTCCAAGGATGTCTTCCAGAGATCTCTGCCTTGTCTGCATGGGAAGTCTGTGCAATGAAGTTGAGGAAGTGGGAAGCAAGCAAGTTAATTCTGTGTAAGACCCAGCAAAGCAGAAGAGATGCAGGTGAAAAGCTGTAGGTCAAAGCTGAGTGAGGTGTGGGACAAGGAAACTGACATGGGTAGGTGTTTGAAAGACAAGAGGGAAGGCAAGGAAGTGATGGTCAGAAAGGCCCAGAGTCAGAAGGCAAAGCCCAAAGCTCAGTAATTAACTCACAGGATTCTCCTCGGGGCTCCTGGTTTGCACCCACTGGACTGTCCCACTTTCCACTCTCAGATTCTTTTGGATTTGCAGCTAAGTTCCTTATGTGTCTTGTACCAATGGGACTCCATCCCTCTCTAGTGCTGACTCCAGGAGGTAGCCATTCTCACTGCTCTCACAGAAGCTAGAAAGATGACAATGAGTCCATTCTGAGGTCATTCTGTCCCTTCAAAAACAAAAAACACATACATTTATGAGGAAAATTCCTGTCTTACCACACTAGAAGAGATGATGAACCACGCAAAGGAGAAAGGTGAATGAGACAATTAGAAGGATAATCTAATGGTTGTGCTAAGAGCAGAGGCTTTGTTCTTCTGAAATCAAGCCTTGAATTTTATTCTTCAATAAATAAAAAAATTTGACTGATAAATGAAACAAAATCAGTGGTGAGGAACAGAGATAATAACGCAGGAATAAACAGTAATAACCATGCCTTGCTTTTACAAAGCTGGCCTTTTAAGTGCTTTGCAAAAAGAAGAAAGCTACCTGTAATAATGGTAATCAGTTGAGCTTTGTGAATAGCTGCTTTTTGATTCTGATCTTGCTGTACCCAACAGCACCCTCAAATTCTACATGGCACATGTTCTTCTGAACACCAGACAACAACCATAAGAAAATACATCATGATGAGGACACTATAAAAACAAAATGTACTTGCTTCAGTCTTGAGACAATTTCATAGAATCACAGAATAGTCTGAGTTGGAAGAAACCCATAGGGATCATTGAGTCCAACTCTTGGCTCTACACAGGACCATCCAGAAATCAGACCACAATTTATTGCAAGTTGACCTCTTATACTGGACAAGTCTGAGTTCTTGGGAAAATACACATGGCAACAAAAAAAAAAATCAGCTTTTCTCTCATAAATATTGGAGAATATTTGAAACAGTTCACCTCTAGACAGATAGCAAATTTGTTCTCATAACACCATTTATTAAAAAAAAAAAATCATAGCCATAAAGCCTATAAATTTCAAAAGCCACTACTTCTAGCATGCTTACTGATTATTCTAAATTGGGTCCAAGATCTTCAAAAAGCCCTGTGAAATTCCATTTGAAAATAAGACAATCCAAGAAATATTTCACTGAAAGTAACAAATATTTTTGTCTGATTTTTAGGGATTATAACTGATTTTTAGGGACTATACAGCACCGTTCTTATCGGTTCACATTGTTTTCCTGACATCTAGAATCTAAAACTTTCCGGATATAAAGCAGAGACTTGGAAGTATCATAATTACACAACATCTTCTTTAATAAAGAAGCAACGGCAAATTCTTGGCTGCTCTAGGCATAGCAGTACCTTGTAGATCATCTCCTGTCCTGTCTTTGGCTATGTCTCCTAAATAGACTTTGGGCCTATGCTCGGCCTTGCCTCCAGCTCTCACTTCATCTCAGTTTGCTCCTGTGGTTGGGCTCCATGCTTGGACCCTGGATCCAGTTTACCTCTTGCCCAGTCTGGGACTGTTGATGCTGTTGCCACCGTCCAGCTCAGCCTACCGTGTCCCAGGCTGAGGCAATCCTTGGTTGGAAGAGAAATAACTCTTCAGAAAATTATTTCAGTTTGTGCCTTCTTTAAAATGCTGAATTTGGCAGACAAATTATTAAAAACCAATGGGGATTTCCACTTGATTAGCTGGGACTGGCTGCAAGAGTGTATCCAAGATAAAGTGCTCCCCGCCACAGCAAAGCCCTTTCCTATACAACAGTCCCATCCCTTAATTAGATCAGTTCACAAATTACTTCCGAGACCTGATAGATTTTGGCCCAACAATCCTTTGCACAGAGAGGGGTTTCAAGCCAGCATTGTGCCAGGAAGATCAGCATGCCAGGCACAGTGTGTCACGCCTCCGTGGTGCTCCCATGGGAATAGCATCTCCCTCAGGTAGAGATAGTCACACAGGCAATAAATATCTCATAAAGCCTTTCAGCAGGGCACAGCAGAAAGCAGATTCACCAGCACTAGCAAAGCTTACATGAGGAAGCTAGTAAGATTAAGAACTGTATTAAAGGCTTTCTAACCGTGGTGCTGTACTGTGGTTATTTACGTAAATGCACAGAACCCAGTTCTTGGCAAACACTTGAGAAAAATACTTGAAAAGGGGAAGAAAGAGAAAATGCTGCATTTTTTCACTCTCTTACTTTGTTTATGTGTTAGACAGAGGTCTTGGGGTTATGGTTAGTCACATGAGACACTGTAAGCTGATTTAACAGCAACCAAATAGAGGTGTTCCTCCATGTACACTCTCCACCCTCACCCACTGTGGTGCTAGCTTTGTGTTAACTCCAATGCCTATGAGATCCTCTTGTGACTGACATACCTCGCTAAAATGTAGGAGCAATACTCAGTGAGTAAAAGCTCTAATTCACAAAAGATCTACATCAGCCCCCATGCCAGCACTAGAAGCACTGTCTAGCTGGGAGAAGCTGGGAAGAAGAGCAAGAGAGAGAGAAACATAGAGTCACTCCTGTCATCACACCTTTTGTCATCTGCAGTATGGCCCATGGCCGTACACATCAGCCAGGCAGGGAGGCTCAGCACTCTCTCATGAAATTCTTCGTAAAGCCCTACCAAAAAATGAGGGTGCATAAATCGGGCTATCAGACTACTTTTCTTGTGGAGTGGAAAGAAGCCTGTTCTGAGCCAAAATCCATAAAAATCCAAAAGCTCTTTCAGCTATTACTCCAGGCTTGCTCTGGAAAGGTTGAAATCCCTCCTGAGTGTGATGAGGGCAGATTGAACTGAGATGACGTCTAGCCAAGGACACTTGGCTTTCAGCACAAGACCTTGATTTCCCCAGTGGAAAGCTGCCCTGAACATCTTCCGCTCGGCTCTATTTACCTTGCTGTCCTCTCTACAGGGCTTCCACCTACACAAGGCAGGAGGAGAAAGAAAGTGGGAATATCTGTGCCAAAAACTGCAAAGCTCAGAGCAGTTCATAGGCTGAAGAAAACTCAGCCTCTCAGATGCAAATTGCAGCACTGTAGAATTTGTGTGGGGAACTCGGAAAGATGTGAAGGGCAGCAAATCAACAGCAGGCATTAGATTTATTTGAACAAGTTTTAGACTGCAGTTGAGTCTGTATTTGTTTATGGATTATGCTGTTTTCATCCTCTCTCACAGAGGCTGGCACTCTTTTGATAACCTTTCCACTATGAGCCTGCTGAGCCACATAAGTGACACATCAAGCAGAGTTCAGACACTGAGATCTGTGTGCTCTCTGCACTGTGCTGAGCCCTGTGGACCACTCCTAACACCAACCACCTCTGCTCAAGTGGTCTACCTTTCACTCCTATCTCTCTGTACTATTTGTTTTCCCCGCTTGAAAATCTCTTCTTGCCTGCTCAAGCTTTTATGTACAGGTCCCACAGCACTCCAATCTGCCAATGCAATTGCTGGTCTCACAGCCATTTTCTGTCTTGACAGTCACTGCCTTCCTTCTCCAAAAAAATCTTTATCTCTGAGCTGCAATGAAAAATCCGTCCATAAAAAGACAAACATCTCAGCTCAGCTTCCATCTCTGCTGGAGTCAAAGGCAAGTTTGCCAATGACTTAAACAACATCAGGAGATAACGCTCTGCTTTTATCTGCACATTAATGGTCTTCTGCTGCCAATCTCTCCCCAGGGAGACAGCCTTGTCAGTCCCCACACAGTGCACAAAGGCACAATTACTTATGCCTCTAACACAAGATAGGGCCATCCAGGATTTTTCCATTGCCTTGGACAGGCTTACTGTGTCCTAATACACAAGTAATTTGAACATCCGCTTTAATATCACACAAAGACAATAGGATTTTGATTGGAAGACAAAAAGGAAACCGCAGAAGCAAGCATCCTTGCACTCGCCAGGATGACTGAGGACAACCTCCACTCCAGGCTGAGGTGTGCAGCTGTACTGTAGCAGATGTCTGTGGATCACAGAGCCAGACAAGGGGCCGAGGAAACCAACTCCAGCCTCCTATACAGCGATCACTGCCCAAGGACAAAATCCCAGAACAGCAGCTTGAGTTAAGGAAGTAAGGGGAATGAGGAACAAAATGTAATGTGGAAGATTATGGCCATCTCCATATTTAAATAATCCTTGCTCACAATATGCATAAGGAGTGATTACATAAAGTATGAGACGATGAACATATCACCATCTGCAGGGTCAAATCTGAAACCTTAGTCCAAGACAAGTTCCAGGTAACACTCACTGATCAAAAAGATTTCAAGACTTTTCTTGTGCAGAGAGCCAATGAGCCAATCTACAGATTTATGTACCCAAAAAACAAACAAACAAAAAAATACAACCCCTAAACGCGTGATTTAGAGATACAGGTTCCCCATTATTTCATGCTTAAATGACAAGCAAAATTGTCAGAAAATATGTATGGTTATTTTAGAAATAACATAAGAATTAAGTAATGCAGTCTTTATTAGTTTTTTTTTAGTATTGTTGGCTGTATGTAGCAATTCCAAAGTCATGGAAACAAAAAAAGCCTACCTTATTACTTTGATCATTTCAAAACATAGTGCTGCTGGGATTTGGGAAGATATATATACAGGTACTGGATGTGCTGCACACCAGGATGTATATGCACTTTCCATCCCAAGTCCATTCAGGATATTAAAGAAAAATGGGAGGGGGTGTGCATATTAGAGTCACTGGTTACACAGGATTCTCACACTGCATGTGGACCAGCACTAAGCCTCCTTTCATACATCATCACTGTAACCCAGTTCAAAGCATCATTCCCAAACACATCCCAGAAGCTTAGAACCTTTTTTTGAATGGAGGTTTGGCCTCAGATAAATACTATTTGTCAAAGGAGCTGTGCCAAACATCAGTCCTCAGGTCTGCACGTGTACCCAAACTACACATGGCAGAAAGAGGTGTTACCACTTACTGCTGAAGCTCTGCGCTGCCCACATGCAGGATGACCCTGCTCTCAACTGCTGCAGATTCTGTTAAATGCTAACTGAAGGAGCTGAAGTTTCCCACGTGGGTGTTCTCTTTCAGCTGAAAGCTTCAATCCACACCTAGGGGGGGAAAGGCAGGAAAAAAGATGTTTGTTTTTCACTCAGATTTAAAAATCCTTAGGAAACCCTTGTTTGGAAGCTCATATTTGGGGGCAGCAGCTTGGCAGCAGCAGCAGGAGGGCAGGAGTTTAATCAAAGACATGCTTCTCACACCCCCACCAGATTAAAAAACTTTGCCCATATTTAGCCAAGTTTATGCTTGAAAGATAACCAGCTCAAGAGGCTCACGCTCACATTTCAGAGCCTGCCCTCCTTGCCCGAGCAAAATGGGTGTGAGTCAGCTTTTCCTTGACCCCCATAGCTGTGGCATGGGCTGAAAGCAAGGACATTTCCCCCTCAATCTTTCAGCTGCATTTTTATGAGTAAATTAAAGCAGCACCAAGTCGTGTAGCACAGTCTATAGTGTTTAATTATTAGCATGCTCCCTGGCAAAGTTTTGGCTTGTCCTAGGGAGTACTCTCAGAGACTGTGTCTGGGCAGGGTTCAGGGAGCAGCACTTGCCAAGGGCTGTTCCCAATAGGCAGAAAGGATAAAGCCATCCTGTTATGGAAGGAAGAGAGCTTAGCTGTATGGACACGAGCCAGGCTGTGCCACTTGCTCTTAGTGCCAGAGAATGGGCTCTGGCCCAGTTTAATTACAATGAAGACATATAATCAGCAACTCCTTCTCTGTCAGGTGCTGGCACTGAGGAAGAAGGAAAATCAAACTGTGGAGAGAAGAAAGCTGAAGGCACTGGAGAGGAAGGGATGGCAGAGGGTGAGGGTAATCTCAGAGCTGGAGTTTGTGACAGGAGGAAATGGGAGTGGGAGCTGGGCAAGGGAAAATGTAGGAATGGATGGGAAGAGATAGGTCGTGAGGAATGGTTTGGAAGGGGATGGGAATTGCTACTTATTAAGAGAAACACAATGAGGTTGCTAATCAAAAATGCAGAATTAAATGATGGGAAGGAAAAAAAAAAGATGAGGAAAGGAAGAGATGTGGAGATCGACAGCTCAGGAGAAGGGAAAAAAAGTCAATGGGGTCTTTGTGCAAGCACAGGCTTAGAAAGGTGACAATGTCTGCCCTCCAGGATGAGTGGCTGATTCTAAAAAAGAGCCCAAGCTTTGTCAGATTTCAAGCATTGCTCACACACTTCTAAATCTTTACCCGTGTTTTTCACCTGTGTCAGGTCTCATTCTTCCACGAGCAACTTAATCTTCCCATCTCAGCAACCTCATGGTCAGAGAGAAGAAATGTCAAAAGCAGTTAAGGCAACCAGCCCTGTATGTAGCCTTGAGAGAAAACACGAAGCAGCCATTTCCATCAATAACTCCCCACGGAGGTTCCCTTAAAGGTATCCTCGAAGGACTGTTTTAATTAACCATTTACCTGCTGCATGTTGCCTGAGGCTTCCAGTAGCTGACAGTGCAGTCACTTTAGCATCACTTGTCACCAGCAATATGAGCAGTCCAGGCAGGATACACTTACAGTCTTTGATTACCAGAAGTACAAGTTCCACTGGGATATAAATCCATACTGGGGAACCATCAGAGCCACCTCTGACATATGAAGCAGAAGGGGAGACCTCAGACACTGCTACTGTAACATAAATACACCCTTTCAATTTTCTTTCTTTTTTCTTTTTTTTTTTCCCTTTGTAACAGAATATTTACTGACCCTGCAAAATAGAAATCCTCTTAGCATGATCACTAGCCAAACAAAAAAGCAAAAAGCTCCCACTGCTATTGTGCTAGGAATATGGTAGTCAAGGTTAGCACATAATAGCTAAACAATATGCATTTGAAAGCCGTCAAGAGAATAACACTTTGTTCTAATGAAAAGGATTGAAATGTTTTCTGCTGTCTGCCTTGACACCTCGTGTTACAATACTCAGAATTACTTCAGTCAGGGAAGCTGTCACATCACTCATAAAGTGCCTATAGAGCACCAGCACCTCCACAGCAGTGCACCCCCAAACAGGGTTCTGTTATTATTTTCTATCCTTGCCAGAGCCAAATTTGCTTGGGGACTGCCACAGGAAAGTGGCATTCTGGTGCATTAGTTTTGCTTTTTTCTTTTATGATTGCTTCTTTGGCACCATGTAAGTGTGGGTCATAACAGCACTAGGCAGTTCAGCAGGAGCATCTCCCATGTGAGTGTTTTCTCGTGCACTGTCCTGCCATTTTAAGCCTGCTTGTGTGGATTTTGCCAATTATTTCAAGAAGGATGGACATTCTGGTCCTGACTATATCATGCTGGCAAGCAATTCCAGCTACAGGAAACTTTCCTAAGTGGGGAAAGCCCAGCTTTGTAGTGAGGAGGAGGTGTGTGGTGAAACTGCATGAGATGCTGTTGGGTTTTAGAAATTCTTAAGCGCAGAGTCAGGAAGCAATTACCCTTTCAGGTGTAAATCAGTTACATAAGGACATTCTGGCTTATAGAAACAGCTCCAAGCAAAACCCTGCTGGTTTGGAGGGCAGTTAGCGAGATCTGTAATTAAAGCAGTGCAGAAGTCATTGCTTCTGCCCTCCTTCCACATCAGTGAAGACAGCCATGGCCATTCTCATAGGATTACTGCAAAAAAATAATAATAATAATAATAAAAAGTAAAAATAAAGTGTTACGGGGAAGTATAAAAGCAAAGCTCTCTAAACCAACATGAAAAAGAAAAAAGAAGACAATGACAAAAAAATGTATTTAGTCACTTCTTATGGGGAGAGATTCAGTTTCTACTTGGCTGGTGTTTCATTCACACACGTGAGCTGCTGTCCAGCACTTAGCATTGCTAGGGAACCTAGCAATCCTACTTATCACTGAGGCAAGGCAGCACAGGGTACACAGAAGCACTGAACCAGATTTTTAGAGACCTAAGAGGTCAAAGACAGATACTAAACAAAGACACCCGCAGAGTTAGGTCGCAGCAGGTTGACATTACAGTTTTGGCCTACAGGACCTAATTTTACCTCTGTTGTGCCCTGGGTACCAAAATACTTGTCTGGAAAAAGCCTCAGCCTAAGCACTGACTTTCCCAGAACAAAACATCCCTCCTATTTTCATTTCCAACTGAGAACCATCTACCCTCTCTCCCTATCTAGCCCGAAACTAATCAGCCCCACATGTCTCTGCTATGCAGTAGTATTTATCCTCAACCTCAAGGCAAGGTTTTCACGCCTAAGCCAAGGGTAAGTCAACAGAAAAACCTTTGCATCTACCAGCAGCAGGCAAGCTGACTGCTGGCTAGCAGGCCAAATCTCCAGGGAAACTCTGATAGCCAAAAAAGAGGCACAGTTACACAGCTGTTAAATGGTTCCTTACCCAGCTTCAGCACGACTCTTTCATGTGCTTCCATCTGACCACTAGATATCCCCTGCCCATCTGAATGCTATTTCCAGTACCTCCCTCTGTTGACTTTAGATGTTTTCCCAGCAAACAATCCAGCACTGATATCCCAGAGAGTTGACAGGGAGGTCTGTCAGGCAGCAATTACTGAACTTCCTTCTTCAAAATGGAGCTGCCTTCGCAACCATGGGGAAAAATCCAGCCTGTGCTCCATTTTGAGTGGCTCGTAGGAAAGCAGAGAGTTAAGAGCAAACTTCTCTTTACTCATCAGAAGACAAAACTTTACACTTCAACTCAGTGAAAGAATAAAGTACTTTCATTTCTCTTTTCCATTGCAGAGGATGGAACTGGAGCTAATAATAATAATTGAGAAAAAAAAAGTGTTTGTGGTGAATGTTCGTTCTTTCTTCAATTTAGCTGAAATAAGGCAGCTAATTAAGGGATAATATCCATGGAGTACATCAGACAATGAAAGTTTTTTGCAGGTAATTAAGAATAGTCTTTCTGATAACTACACAGTGTATTGCAAGCTTATATTCCAACACAATGAATATAATTCCTATTTTTAACTATATAAAATATGATAATGAAGGAAGGGGCAATCTTAAAAATTTTGTACAAAGTACAAACCTCCTTTTCACCAGAAGAATGTCCTGTAAAACATGCCAGCATATTCCCATTTCTTAACTTGAACATGTTTCTGAGATCCAGAATTCTGGAACACTGAGGAAATTCATAGTCATAGAATCATCATAGAATCATAGAATGGCCTGGGTTGAAAAGGACCACAATGCTCACCCAGTTTCAACCCCCCCTCCTGAGTGCAGGGTCACCAACCAGCAGACCAGGCTGCCCAGAGCCACATCCAGCCTGGCTTTGCATGCCTCCAGGGATGGGGCATCCACAGCTTCCTTGGGCAACCTGTTCCAGTGCATCACCACCCTCTGTGTGAAAAAAATTCCTCCTAAAATTCAGAATAGGATAGGACAGGAAAGGGTAGGAAGAATAGATTAGTTGGAAGGGACCATCAGGGGGAGAGGTGGGAGGGAGGAATAATAGATGTTAGATATTGGAATAATAGATGAGGAAAATATTGTCAGGAAAAAGATTTTTTTTATGCTGTCACTTTTTCTCAAGTGTCAGAGTTCACAGGCAAAAGCTCAAGTTTGCTGATGTTGCCATTTTCCTGACCACACACCATCTCAGAGGACATTGCTCAACAGGTAAGAGGCTCTAGGTTCAGTTCCTACCTCCACTCTTCTGTGGACTACTTACATCACCTCAGGCAAATCATCAAGCATCTTCCGGCCTTCATTTGAACTCAGGAGTCAGGGTAATATTTATTTACTCCTGTTCTTGCCTTGTTTGGTTAGCTTGAACGCTCTTTGAAGAAAGATCTGCCTTTTCCTCATTTAAATAGCACCTCCCAAGAGGGCAATAGCTTCATCTTGTTTGTACGTACAAATAATGAATGCCATTCACCTGAATGTGCTTGCAGTCACCTTCAGTTCTTTGCTGATGTGATCTTGTGCTATGGAAGTAACTTCATCCTTTGAGAAACTGTGCACCACAATCCCCTAACCCAATCTTTTCCCTGTTTCGATAAAGCAGTTTTGACAAATGGGATCTTACTAGCAAAACCAGCAGCAGCAAAATGAAAAATAATGAGGCTAGGAAGCAGCAAGAAGCACAGGCACTACAGTCTGAATGAAGGCATGGTGCTGCACGCCAAGGGCAATGCCTGTCGGATATTACCCTTAAGCTGCCAGCGCTGCTGAACACCTGTTAAATAAGACTTATGGCTGGTCTGCAGGGACAGCACAGACACTGCTCCTGCTCATTAAATATGCAGGGCAGCAAATGCAAAAGTGGGAGACTACTACATCACACCTTCTGACAGACCAAATAAAACCAGCTGAAAGCCATGATAACATCGCTATTTCCTCTGGATCAAGCAGCTGGGAGAGTGGTGCTGCCCTTGCCAAGGCAGCCAACAGCCATAACCAACACAGGCTTCAAAGGGGTCACAACTTGGTGTCTGAACTTTCAATTCCACTTCCTTCTTTTAAAGGAAAGGTTTGTTAAACTTGGCTTATTTTACTAACAGTAAATGGAAGTGAAGGGGGCAGTGAGGAATATCTCATCAGTGCTTCAAAGTCACGGCAGAATAAGAGAAAAATTCATGAGCCATCTTTCATCAGCCCTTCCTTTAAGAAGTATCATCTTTTTGGAGAGAAAATGGCATCATTTGGGCAGAAGGAAAAACAAAGACAAAACCTGCTCCTTCAGCATAGTGAACTTTCAAGGGTGGAGTTGTGTGGAGAAATGCATATAGCAAAGTCAAGGGCAGCAGGACCCTGGGATGGTCCTTCCCATGAACCATGAGCTTTCCTGAACATCCCAAGACTTCCTCACATCTATCTTCACAGCCCACACTGGCCTATCTCCCCGACCAGTCCCTGAGCAGGCTGAGGAGCAACAAACATCAAATCCTGTTGAGGGATTCACAGGCATCCCACTGGGGGACATGTCTAGGAAAGGCCAAACACAGCCTCTGGGCAGAAGCTTGCTTAACCATGGCTGATCAAAGAGGATTTTTACATCTCAAGTGATGGCCAGATTACGCAGTGTACCATTTTCAGGTAACAGATTGAAGGAAGAAGAGACATAAAGCTCTCAGTGTGAGCCCTCAGTGTGCAGCAGAGCCTCCCATATCCAGGCTGAGGTCCTGCTTAAAACCTGAGCCAAGTTTTATTCCAAATTGAGCTGAAGATCTAATTCTAAATTTCTAAGTTCAAAAACTTTGCCTCTCATCCAGCTGCAGGAAAAATACAAAAATATAGGGGCAGTGCCATTTGAGCATTTCCCAGAGGAGAAGTTGCATCCAGACCATCAGACTTAACAACTGTCAAAGGGACAAGGAAAAATCATTTTAACTTTCAAGAGTAAGAGATTACCCATCAGGTACAAAGTCCAATCTGCCCTCCCCTTAGTGTTAAATGAGTGCATGTCAACAGAGCTGCTTTTGTGTTGGGTTTTGTTTCAGCTGGTGTAGCTTAGTTCACCAGCCCCAGAAACTTGTCCTTTCCACCCCACCCCCTTCTCTTTCTCAGAGGCAGCATCAGAGATTTTTAACATGCATCTTCTGAACGCTGTCCATCAAACGTATCCCATTCCTTTTCTTCATTCGGTTCAGCCATGCTTTCCTGTGGATAGGCACACGCCAACACTAAGAAGCTAGAGTAGGGCTCAAAAGAAGAGCACGGAGGCAAAGGGACCCCAAAAAGTCTTGTTGCTGCTGTTGATTATTCAAATGTTCACAGATTGTCAGGAAACTGGACAGGTAATGCCTTTTCTAAACAGAGTCCTTAATTTGGAAAAAATACTAAAAGCTCAGCATTTCACGCCTCTACTGAGATGCGCCTCTGGCCACCCTTTTATTTTTCATTCTGTCTTTTCTGAAATATTACATTCAAGAGAATACATTGCCTTCAAATCATGTACACATGCATGTTTATTAAGTCATTACCATAGCCTTAAGTCCATAAAATCACTGTGGACTGCAATACCACACATGCATGCAACAATTAGATGAATACATTAACCCTGAAAAATCTCAGCTTGGGGTGAAAGAGAACAAGCTGTACTGTGAAAGTTGGAATGAGACTCCCAAAATTATTCTGTATTTAAAAGACTTCTACCTGGCTGAAACTCTGGGGAAAGAAAAAAAAAAAAAAGAAAAAAAAAGGAGCTAATCATACTGATGATTACCAATAGCTTGAAATCTCTGAAGTAAAAAGAGGAAAAAAAATAGTAGAAAACAAGGAGCTGGCAGAGCACACCGTTCCAAAGTGCATTACTCCGTCAGTGTCATTTTCTATGCTGCAGTGTTCTTTCAATTATATTTCCTCCTCTCTTCCTCCCTGGAAAGAAAATTGGCAGAAAAAGTTGCCTGCAGGATCAGAGAGGGGTATTTTTATCAACCTACAACTAGATTAAAATGCTTTATCTGAAATGCAGCAGAGGACTGGCCTAAATTAAATCCCATCTCCCTTTACTTCTCAGCTGTGAAGGAGTATCACACAAAGGGGCATTCGCTTAATTTGTATTATTTTTTAATTTATGTTGGTTTTAGTTTGCACTTGCATGTGTTACCCATGCAAAAATGAACAAGGGAAGGATCAGAGGGCCAGCTACATAGTGAACATCCAGGGATGCTGAGATGGGATGCTGCTGGATTCAGCACAAGCGTGGGCCAAGCCCAAAACTCCGAGGGGCACCTTGCAGCAAGTGCACTGTTAACCTGGACATTGGTTTTCCGTGCTTGCTGTAGTGCCCTCTTTACCTCCACAGAGAGCACTCACATGGCAAAGCATTTGCAGAACCCGAGCTTGCATGAATTTTTAATGGTGTTAATAATCACTGTTTGCAGTTTTGCACTGTTGCATGACTACCAGAGAGTGCTTGGTAACTAGGTCACCAGAAATGTCCTTTGTCACCGTGCCCATCACCTTACCCAGATAATCACCAGGTGCTAATTGTACCCACATACATGTGCTCCCTTAATTACCCTCATTACCCTCTTCCATCTGCACAGCCCTAATCTCCAGGGGTGGTGATGTTGCAACACAGATACAGTTGGATAAAAATGGGGAAGAGGTAAGTAAACAAAGACAGGAAACAGAGATTGAAAAAGGAGGGCCTGAGTAGGTGTCTCTGCTACCTAACTTGTTACTCCAGGTGGTCAGGCACTGCAGCAGGCTCCCCAGGGCAGCAGTCATGGCACCAATCTTGCCAAAGTTCAAGAAGCATCTGGACAAAGCTCTCAGACATAGAGCCTGATTTTTGGGTGGTCCTGTGCGGAGCCAGGAGTTGGAATTGATGATCCTTACGGGTCTCTTCCAACTTGGGATATTCTCTGATTTTGTGAGCCAACCCCTGGGACTTTTCCAGGAAGGGCTGAAAACATTTGAGTCTCCTCCTTTTCACCTCTCTGAAGGGACTTCACCACTGAAGATGGAGTAAAGGATCTGCAGGAGTCCTGTCCAGGATACCTGTGGATAGCTGTTCCAGTTTCTTTACTACTGGCTTCTCTGGCTCCGTCCCATGTCAGAGCACACAGGAGCAAATAGCTATTAATTTGGCTCAGCAGCAATTGCTGTGCACAGTGGCTCGGGCAGAGAATTTTCATTTCATTTTCATACATCATTTACAGCTTGC